CACTTTTGATAAAATTCAATATCCTGTCATGTTAAAAATACTCAATAAATAGGTATTGAAAAACCATACCTCAAAATAATAAGAGCCATCTAAGACAAACCCACAGCCAACATCATACTCAATGTGGAAAAGCTGGAAGCATTTCCTTTTGAAAACCGGCTCAAGACAAGGATTCCTTCTCACTATCCCTATTCAACATCGTTTTGGAAGTATTAGCCAGAGCAATCAGGCAAGAGAAAGAACGAAAGAAGCAAAAGAAAAGAAAATGAAAGAAAGAAAGAGAAAGAGAGAGGGAGGGAGGAAAGAACGGAGGAAGGAAGGAAGGAAGGAAGGAAGGAAGGAAGGAAGGAAGGAAGGAAGGAAGGAAGGAAGGAAGGAAGAAGAAGGGAGGGAGGGAGGGAAGGAGGAAGGAAGGAAACCAATAAAACAATAAAGGGCAGGAAAAGAATGGAAGACAAAAAGTAGAAACACAGAACAAGAGAACAAAGGCAACAAATAGAAACCAGTAACAAACACTAAACCAACCATATCAACAATAATTTTGAGTGCCAATGATCTAAATGCACCATTTGAAACAGAGATCATCAGAGTGGATCAAGAAACAAGACCCAACAATATATTGTGTACAACAAGACCATTTAAAATATAGACGATATATATTAAAAGTAAATGGATAAAGATATACCATGCTAATGCTAGTTATAGAAAGCAGGAGTAACTGTGTTAATTTCAAACACAGCAGACTTCCGACCAAGAAAAATTATTAGGGATAAAGAGGGGCATCCTATAATGATAAAGGGGCCACTTATCCAAGAAGACATAACAATATCCCATATGTATGCACCTGACAGAGAGACAAAATATGTGAGGCAAAACCCATAGAACTGCAAGGAGAAATAGATGGATTTACTATCATAGTTGGAGACTTCTATGATATCTTTCTGATATCAGAAAAGGTGCTGAAGTCTCCTTATCAGAAATGGGCAGATTCAGCAGGCAGAAAATCCATAAGGACATACTTGAACTCAACAGCACCATCAATCCACTTGGATATAATTGACATATATAGGTGACTTCATCCAACAGCAACAGAACACGTATTCTCCGGCTCACATTCATGGGGATAGACCACATTCTGAGCCATAAAATAGTACGCAAATTAAGCTTTACCAGGCAGTGTTTAGCATAGGGTGAACTCTGGCGCCCTCATCTGGTCCTTATGTAGGATCTGGTTTGGTTATCCCTGCTAGGTAAAGGTGCAAGAAAGAAGGGAAGTTCCAATTTGCTTTCTGTGCTTTATTCTGGTTTACATATGCTCAGATGAGTGGATGTATGATTTATATTATCTATTTTAATCTAAAAGAACCTTCACATTTGGACAGGTAACATCAAAAGTGTCCTACACAGAAATACTGGGTGAAGATCCCTGTAATAAAACCAACTCCAGAAAACAAGAAAATGGCAGAGTTGACAATCCCTCTCACCCTCCCCGCAAAGACACATGTATACACATTTTTTGTCAGAGGCATTAAGAGGAATAAATGCTGTCAGTCTAATCACAGCTGATCACAACTTGATGAAACCAAAAAATCTAGAAAGTATCATGAAGACAGTTGACATACAGCTTTACATTCACTACTGTGACCAGAGAAACTCACTGTGGCTGTTTTTTGTCCCATTAGATGTCAACTAACGATTGTGTTAAGTCATAATGATTAACAAGGCATTTAAAATATTTATTTTATCTGTATTACATTTCAAAAAATTTATATTGAGACATAAAATTTATGTGTGAGTACATATATAATTTATAAATTTATATATTTTGAAAGTGCATGCTTTTTTTTTTAAACTGAAAGAGGTGCCTAAGCAAAGCAAGTGCAAGTCTATTCCTTAAAGGGTAAGTGTGCAGAATGGAAAGCAGGAGTGTTCTTTGGGTTGACAGCTCATATTTCAACAGACATGAAAGTGATTATGTGTTAATTGTGTGTATAGCACAGAATAAATCAACTTGCTTTGAATGGAAGATCTGAACCAGGAGAATGTGAAAGTGGGCTGAGTCATATAAGACAAAACCGAAAAGGAGATAACAATATATACCCACTAGAATGGCTAACTTTAAAAAGATTGACTAAGCCAAGTGTTGGCGATAAGGTGAAGCAACTGGAATTATAATATACTGCTATTTAGCAGGTAAAATTATAACATTAACTTCAGAAAATAGTTCAACAGCTTCTTAAAACCTTAGACACACACGCTGTCATGTTACTCAGCATTTTACTCTTTAGTTTTTTACCCAAGAGCAATGAAATCATATGTCTACACAAAGACTTGTACGTGAATTTTCATAGCAGTTTTGTTTGTAATAACCAACAAG